ACAGCCAAAGTGATTGATAATGACAACCAAAGTGATAGATACTTACAGCAAAAGTTATATATACTTACAGCAAAAGTTATATATACTGGCATCCAAAGTGATAGGCACCGACATCCAAAAAGATAGGTACTGACAATTACAGTGATAGATACTGACAGCCAAATTGATAGATACTGACAGCCAAAGTGATAGATACTGACATCTAAAGGGATATATACTGACAGCCAAATTGATAGGAAGTGATATAAAAAAATAGGTTCTGACAGCTAAAGTGATAGATACTGACAACGAAAGTGATAGGTACTGATAGCAAAAGTGATAGGTACTGAAAGCTAAAGTGATAGATTCTTACTGCCAAAGCGATAGGTACTGACAGCTAAAGTGATAGGTACTGTCAGCCAAAATGATAGATACTAAAATTCAAAGTGATCGGTGCCGACAGCCAAGTTGATTGATACTGACAGACAAATTGATGGGTACTGACAGCTTAAGTAATAGTTACTGACTGCTAATGTGATAGATATTGAAAGCAAAAGTGATAGATACTGACAGCTAAAGTGATAGGTCCTTACCGCCAAAGTTATAGGTACTGACAGCCAAAGTTATTGATACTGATAGCCAAAGTTATTGATACTGACAGACAAAGTGAGAGACGCTGACAGCCAAATTGATGATAGTGACAGCCAAAGTGATAGTTATTTTCAGCGAAATTGATAGATACTGACGTCCAAAGTGAAAGGTGCTGACAGCAAAAATGATAGTTACTGAACGCTGAAGGGATAGACACTGACAAAGTAATAATTACTGACAGCCAAATTGATAGATAGTGACTCTAAGAGTTATAGATACTGCTAGCCAAATTGATAGAAAGTGGCAGCCAAAGTGATAGATACTTACAGCAAAATTGATAGATACTGACAGACATGTGATAGGTACGCACAGCCAAAGTGATAGATAATGACAGCTAATGTGATAGAGACGGGCAGCCAAGTGATAGATACTGACAGCCAAATTGATAGATACTGACAGACAAGAGATAGGTACTGACAGCCAAAATATTAGATACTGTCAGCTAAAGTGATAGGTACCGACAGCAAAATTCATTGATACTGACAGCTAAATTGATAGATATTGACACCCAAAGTGATAGGTACTGACAGCGAAAGTGATAGATACTGACAGCCAAAGTGATTGACACGACAGCCAAAACGATAGATACTTACATGTAAAGTGATAGATATTGACAGTCAAAATGATAGGTACTGACATCCAAAGTGATAGATACTGACAGCCAAAGTGATAGATACTGACAACCAAAGTGATAGATACTGACAGCCAAAGTGATAGATACTGACAGCCAAAGTGATAGATACTGACAGCCAAAGTGATAGATACTGACAGCCAAAGTGATTGACGCTGACAGCTAAAACGATAGATACTGACATGTAAAGTGATAGATACTGACAGCTAAAGTGATAGATACTGACAGCTAAAGTGATAGATACTGACAGCTAAAGTGATAGATACTGACAGCCAAAGTGATAGGCACTGTTAGTCAAAGAGATAGTTACTGATAAATCCATTGTTAGAAACTTAAACCCGCCAAAAGCTCTAGAGTCCATAAAAACAAAACATCGTCATATTTGTTAATACGGCAAAATAATTAATTCTTTCATTTCACTTATGTATCTGGGACGTCATTTAGATAGGGCAGGCAGGGGCATTTGCCCCCCCCCCCCAGATTTTGAAGGTTTAATTTAAATTGCTATGTATTGTTGGGCTTCAAGTAATAAAGAACTTAACAAGGCAACCAATTTTCCCCCCCCAGATTTTGAAAGTTTAATTTAAATTGCTATGTATTTTTGGGCTTCAAGTAATAAAAAACTTAACAAGGCAACCAATTTTTGATCCCCCCCCCCCCCCCCCCAACTGAAACAACCTGAAATGACCCCCTGATATGTACACATTTCTATTTGTCGTCTACAGCAGTTACTAAGCATCTGAGACTCAGCAGTCACTTAGATTGTGAGAATCAGCAGAAACGAAGGCAACTCAGAATAATTAAACAGAAACCGTCAAATAAACTCTGCAGAATGTGATTGAATATATGGTAAATATGTGTACTGTAACAAAAACGTTTCTTAATTAATTTTTGTGTTTGTTTTTGGATAAATGACTGGACTAGTTAAGGGAAAATGACTATTTAAAAGAGAAGAAAAGGAATATTTTCAGATGCCAATAAAGTCTAACATTGTAATACACTAGCTAGGGCAACGACATCACGGTGAGTTGCATAAGCTTTACTTCTTCTCCGCAGTACTTTCATTTGCCTATCGCCTAGAAAATTTGTTCTTTGTGTACATTTGGTGCAGTCGTGGCGGAAAAGCATCAAATTAGAGCGCAGCACAGTGCGCAATGAGAGTCGGACGGACAAAATCCACCCGGGCATTATTTTTACAGACGACCTTATTATATAAAATGATTTTTTTAATTGAAGAAATGTTGCCCCGTAAAAAATGTGGAAAATCGGGTTTCTTTTCAGATGAATTGCTGCAAAGATTTCAACTATGGCAAAGTTAACTCTAGAGAATGATTCAAAGTCGGCAAAAAGTACTGGTATCTTCAAAGGTATTTCTTGAGTTTAAAAAAAATAATTAATCAGATTTTAATTTATTTCTAACTGAAAAGAACAATAACAAATAAAAAAAAAAGCATTTGTAAATAATTAAACAAACCCCAAAAACGAGTTTTATAAAATGTAAAATCGAGAGATCAGGGGGAAGGGCTGAAAATTTGACAAAGCATGCATACAAGTAACATATGTTATAAGAATTAGTTCTCCACCACCCAAGGCTCGCAGACGCAAATTTTTTTTTTACGTCACTGAAATATATTAATATTATAGTGACCCATTGTCATAGTTATTTCACCATTTCAGAAAAGCAAAATAAACCATTGCGAACCAAACGCAATCAGTTTGTTTTTTTTTAAAAACAAAATACATTTATTTAGCGCAGTTATCGGGAAGTTTACTTCGTGAAATGATATTTCCTTCATGTTCCCATTTATTAACAGAAGGAAAACAAAATGTTTTTTGGGGATTTGTGTGTGGGACAAAAAAAATAAGAAAAATAATGTGTTGGCATCGAAATTGAGTTAAAGTGCCAAGTTTCAGCTCGATAGGTTGACGGGAAGTGGGTCAATTAGCCGTCCAAAAATTTTACCAGCCAGCCATGAACAAATGCGATGTTATTATAAAGGATTATAAAATTTAAAAAAAACAGGACCATATTTTGCTCTCAGAACTAATTTTTTTAAAAATCGTATATAATAAATTATACAACTTGAAGAAATGAAGGTCAAATATTTTAATGGTTTTCATTACTTCACATCTTCATCAACTGAATTGGTCTGAAATCGTACCATAAAGAGATTTATCATACCTCTCTTTAAAAAATTTTGCATGTAGTTATTATATTTAAGTACCTAAATGATTATTCTATTACAATTTTTTTTAACTTTCTTTGTTAGGTAATCATGAAACTCATGTGCTAGAAGGAGAGGAGGTGGACATCAACACCTGCAACAAAACATGTACAAAAAATCCAGGTCACAAACAGTTTATCCCGGTCCCTGAATTCACTGTCAGTGACTTGCCTGTAGACTACCGAGATGGGGATTTAGTTAAGTTCATCAAAGCCACCGCCGACCTTACGGTCAGTGTGAGAGTTAAGAAAACTAGCGAAGCGAGACCAGCGTTTTGGCCCGGTACCAACGATCCGTACCCTTTTCATGAAAACAGAGGCGTCGACATCGTCCGGCAAGGGACTGCGATCATATGGAGCGTTGACGACTACACGGGGAATCGCTTCAAAGAAACGTGTGCGTGTGGAGCGTGTAGACATTCGGGCCCCCGAGGAAAGTAGCGGGGATGTTAAGGATGTACACCGCAACACACGTAGTGTTCGATAGCGACGAGGCGGAGAGCGGCGCCTGCCAGTTATTCTTTGACACGAAAGACAGTGCGTCGGTCGTCGTTGACGGCTGGAACATCGTCAAGTCGGACATTGACGACGACAGGTGTGAGATGTATGCTTTGACATGCGACCTGGGTTTGCTGATGACATTAAATCGCATGGTCGCCCACTGGCGGGAAGTCAGTGAAAAAACGAACGGCAAATACAGACATGGCTCAAAGGGGGGCAGGTTCAACTTTATCGTCTCCCACCCGCACGGTTGTCCTAAACAGATCTCAGTGGGCCGTTGGATAGAGAGGACCGAAGTCAAGGACGGCTGGTGGACTAAGTACACGTACACAACATGCACGTGCCCCGGGAGCAGCGGGGCGTATGTCTACTCACTAGGATGCAATCACTGGCTGTCATCTCGCCACATCCACTGTGGCGTTAACGATTTTGGCCAAAACTATTGTGGCCCGGGTTTGGACTAGATGTATAAAGATGAGGCTCGCGGGAAAAATTTTGGATTAGATACATAAGGACGAGGCTTGTGAAGAATATTAGGATTGGATATTTAAGGATGAGGCTTGTGGACAAGATTTCGGAGCAAAGGCTGTGACCACGGAATACATACATGTTTGTGAGCGTGTGTTAGTTAATAAAAAGGTGGAAAGAAAAACATGTAAATACAAGAAGACTGGCTAAGGGACTGCCAATATTTTCAATATTTTAAATTTATTGCTGTACATTAGACCAGAACTCTGCAACATCTAAACTTTTCATTGTAATAACGTTTTGCCCTGCTTCTAAAGTTTAAAAATCCGTGGTCCGCTTTGTATGAGTAGAAAATGTTTGAATATTTCAGTTGATCAAAGTTTGCACTTTGTGTCGTAACGTATTTCTGTTGGATCAAACATTACCCATTTGAACTTGGATCTTTTCATTGTTTCGTGCAGGATAATAACATGTCATATTATATGAAGATGTTGTTTACGCGTAGAATGCATATGACGTGCAAGAGACAAAGAACAGTTAATGTGTTTATAAGAATTGCAGCCGTATTTAAGGCATTGGCTAATATGTTCATGAGAGACAAACTTCTGAATGAAGCACAGGAATTCACGAACGTGAGTCGCTCTGGGACGACGTCACCCAAACGGATTTCTTCTGTCTCGCTGCTCGACTCCGAGCTGCTAAAAGTGGGTTTTGGCTTCTTCTCGAGAGCTACCATTTCGGCATCCATCAAATCCACCAGGCTCTGATCTTCTGTGGTGTCCAGCAGCGATGATTTTCCTTTTCGACTCCTTGTGCCCGGTGTTGTTTTTCCTTGTGTGGGTGGCCTGGATTTTTTTGCTGTTGGTTTTATTTGACCCTTTCGGCTCACCATTGCTTTCTTTGTTGTCTGTATCATCGCCTCTGTTGTCGGCATCAAACTTTCTGTTGTAGTTTGTGATAACGTGCCCCTTGTCCTACCTGGAATATAAAATAATAATTAAAACATTTAATTCCCTTAGCAGAAGAAAAATTTTTTTAAAGGATACAAAAAATTACATTTTATTATTTTTATTATTATTAATAATAAAGTGATTATACATAGCGCAGTACCCCAAACTAGGGCTAGGCTCACTGTGCTTCACATAAAAATTCGCAATGGTTTGAGCATTGTCAAAATGATGTTGTGGCTAACTTAAGATAAATGTATGAAGCTACATCACCTATGCAAGAACCGGAGAGAGTTTTTGTAAACATGCCCAAAGCTTTCACAACAGACACAAATAAAACAGCTTAAGACCCTAAGAGTCAGACCAAAAGGCCCAAACCTTAAGACTCAGTCCCTAAGAACCAGATACTAAGACTCAGTCCATAAAACTCAGGACCTAACACTCTGACCCTAAGACTCACACCCTAATTTTGAGTTGAAGTTTCTGAATCAGGAATAAAGCACACATTCATAATAAAAATCGCAACCAAACAGAACATTCACCACCAAGCAGAACAGGCGCTACCAAAGATTACAGTCGCTACTAAATAGAACAGGCGCTACCAAACATGACAGTCGCTACCAAACATGACACTCGCTACCAAACATGACAGTCGCTACCAAACTAAAAACCGTAACAAAGATAAATGATACATTATTTAAACTCTCTTTGACGTATCACGTAGTGAGTTTGTTGGTGTTGAAGGTTCCATTTCGTTAACTTGAATGTTTTGACCGCCCAAAAAAATGAATTTTATGTTATATTAACTAATAAGACGAATGAAAATGCTACCTTCCAGCGTTGCAGTTGTTTGGGATGTTTTGACAGCTTCTTCTTCTACTAAAACATGAACATAGACAAGGGCCGATTCGTGATGTTGATGGTCTGGGTTATTACTCATGGCCTGCACCGATTGAAAGAAAGCAATAAAGATCATCCCGTTTCTTGAATTCTCATTTTTAAAATATTGTTTTTACCTTAAAACTGGAGTAAAAAGCGATGCTACCGGTGTCTTATTCCATGGACAGCGAATACATTACACTGATCCTCATTCATTTAGTTTTATTTATTTTATTTTTTGTATTTTTGTTTTCGCTGTTTGTGAATTAAAAACACCGAACTTTTGAAAAACGGAGAAAAAAACCCCAACAACAGATGATAAGTTTGAGGGGGAAAAACATATGTTTAAAATTTACAAGACGAAACACACCTGCCGAGATTATTAGGTCATTAATTTACATCAAAACTGGGTGTTTTGTTTGTTTTTGTTGTGATTTTTAATTTTTAAAGAGAAGCATATGTCCTCAGTCAAATAAAGATTCTACAGATTGTAAGAATATCAACCTGGACTATGATGAAAAAGCTCAGCGAATACTTGAGCAGGTCAAGATGTAACGTGTATAGATCTCCATTCTCTGAGTTGATTGTGAACATGTCCAGGTAGCTGCTGGGGTTACCTGGAATGACGGATTACTTATGAATTAGGAACTGGAGTCTTCTCACCTTTAAAGGTTCAATTGATTAATTCTAAATGTTATTAAAGATTTTCTTGTGTTTATTTTTCTTCATTTACCTCGAAAAGTATTTAGAAAAAAAATAAAGATAAAGTAACAAAGAAGTAACAAAGAAGAAACAAAGAAGTAACAAAAACATCTCAAAATTAATAAATTGACAAATAAATAACTACCATATGGCAAACATAATTACATAACAAATAACAAGTTCGACTTAAATTGAAACCGAAATAGTGAACTTTAAAACAAAAAAAAACAAAAAAAACTATTAACTTTCATTTATTTATTAGAAAATATCAGTACTGTTATATGCCAAATCTCAAGCGCTTGCTAAGATCTCACATCGCTTGCCAAGATCTCAAAGTCCTTGCCAAGATCTCACAGCACTTGCCAAGTTCTCACAGCACTTGCCAAGATCGCACATCACTTGCCAAGATCTCACAGGACGTGAAAAGTCTGTTTGGCGGGTAGTTTGTCCACTGAGCTAACTCTAGGCTAGAGTGACTCCCGTACAGAGACAATCTGATCTCATGTAAAAGATGACCGCTCGTAGCATGTCAGCGATTCAGCTAGAGCTCACGGTTCGTCCCGCACTGGTCAATGAATGCAACATTTAAATGCTAAATAACTTTAAAAGGGAAGTAAAAGTGAATTTCTCACCGCCAACCAACAAATAGCTGACTGTCTCCTTATATGCCTCCTCAACTTGAATTTCACAAGGGATAAGGTTGAATATCTTGCCCTGGGTAAAGTATCGATACATCATTTAGCCAATTTAATAAAACTGTGTAGACGAAAAAAAAGGAATGTATAATTTATTTTATAACACACGACAAAAAACTTTAAAAAATATGTAGCAAATGTAGCAATGTAGCAAATGTAGCAATGTAGCAAATGTAGCAATGTAGCAAATGTAGCAATGTAGCAAATGTAGCAATGTAGCAAATGTAGCAATGTAGCAAATGTAGCAATGTAGCAAATGTAGCAATGTAGCAAATGTAGCAATGTAGCAAATGTAGCAATGTAGCAAATGTAGCAAATGTAGCAAATGTAGCAATGTAGCAAATGTAGCAATGTAGCAAATGTAGCAATGTAGCAAATGTAGCAATGTAGCAAATGTAGCAATGTAGCAAATGTAGCAATGTAGCAAATGTAGCAATGTGTGAAAAAACAAAAACAGAATACATTTTGTTTCTTCTTGCTAAAATAAAATATGATCTTTTTGGTAAACTGAACAATTTAATGTTCCAGTCTTTTCCCTTTCAATAAAATAAAGTTTTAAGCGGAAAAATAGCAACCAATGAAAACAAAGAGTTTCGTGTAATCCTTTTCATGAATGTTTGTTTTCATCTATGTGATTGTACTTGATTTGTCATTTATTAAGAAGCGGTTGTGTAAATGGGTAAACTTCTGGCACTTTCAATATTTCATTCATTGTCCCCTTAAAAATACACTTTTATGTTGACTGCAATGTCTTTTGTTGAGGGAATAACAACGTAGTCTCCCATACCCAGATACGTCACAAATACAGAGCAACAGCTGCACAGTTAATCTTCGACACCAAACACTCAACCATTGAACAAATCATTAACACACCATCCCCTTGAAAAGCAGAAGTAAAATAACATTTTGAGGGTGTACAAAAAAAACAAAAACATTTAAATAAGTATAAATTAAATTTACATAACATAAATATACATATCCTACCTAAAAAAGAAAATAGGAGAAGGCATGTGTCGAAACGTTTACTTGTGTATAATGTATAATTATTATTAAAGCGTAACTTTTATTGTTATATTGACACCATTTGTTCGTGTCTGATAATCTACTTTAAAGCTTTATTGCAGTCCAACACTTTTTATTATTAGTTAATTCTTTGGTGAAGAACAAAATGAATAAAAATATTTTATATGATGCTGCGAAGATTGCAAGAAAAATCAATTAAAAATTAGGGAAAAGTAAAGAAAAAGGAAGTACAAGATGATTGGCTGTTACCACGAAAGGGGGGAGGGGGGGGGTGTTTAGCCAGTAAACGATAACATGAAAATTGTGTAATGCGGTATCAGAGTTTCGTCACATGACAAACAGGTCGTGTGGTGTCAAGGTTCCGAACTCAGTTAATGTTGATGGTTTGTTTGCCAAACGTTCTAACTCAATGAGCAAAATGAATCTCTTTGGTCACACTGCTTTACGTGTTTAGAAACAGCTTTCGTAAGTATGAAAATCCCGTGAAAAAATTCAACACATTCTCAATTAAATCGTCAAGCTCTCTGCATGCCTTTTATGGAATATAAGACATTAAAATTATCATTAAAATATTTGTTAAATAATTAATTTCACATTCGCTTTATAATTTGGTGAATCGACTTATGTTTATTCATGTTTGTATCATAGCATTAGCAAATGTAAACACTCGCTGAAATTAGTCTCTTTGACCACTTACCTGGACTCAAGAATCATCACTAATAACGTCTCATTGCAGATGGCGTCGGTGGGTCGTCGAGCGCGAGCTCTTAATACCCCTCCCGGCACCCCCACATGGACCGACGCCGGGTCTCCTCGTCGCCGGACCATGCGGAAGCTCGCCGGAAACCTCCCCCCCCTTCCCCGTTGGCCTGGGGGACGTTCAGTCGACTGAAAACGCTGCGCTTAAAGCGTTCGCGGTCCACTCTCCTTGGGTCTGAACGGCTTTGATTCCTTTCCGGGGGAAAGGTGTTGCGTTACCTCCCCCCACCGCCCAGGGTCGGGACGTAGCGGGGACAAAACGGTCGCCTAGGAGCGGCTTTCTCAGGACCGCGTAGCTTAAATCATCGGCAAGGGTTTTGGCCGCCACCCAGGCCTCATATCCATTATCGGCAACAAGTAATTATGTTATTGCGTTTCTTCCGTTGCGTTGGAAGTCATGCAAGGGGCCGGGGGACTTTTAGCTTCTGGGGGATATCTCCCTACTAGTCTGCCACGCCACGAAGAGGCAAGACCCCATGTGACACCATCGGGTCGCCGGAGGTTCTGGACTTCGACCTAGAGGCCTTTGGGCATGGTCCAAGTATCATTACTTAAATAAGCGATTCATTTGTACTATACCTTATGGTGTTTGGGAATTTCAGAACTGTAGACTTGGACGTAGCATTCTTGTGTGGATGCGCATTTCGTGTTAACGAATCGTGGTGCGTGCTGTGTTGGCTTTACAGTTGAGACAGATCCATCGTCCAAAGTTGAGTTTTGGAATTCTCCTAAAACATGGATGGCTACAGGAACAATCTCCGACGACTTGTTGTCTGGCTAATGATTTACAACACAGGTGGTGTACAAAAAAAAATTCATTGATGCAGGAGCATTACTTTTGCTAAATTTTTGATTGTTTTGTTTGAAATGATTCAAAGGGTTTCTAAAATAACTTTTAAAATAAAACATAATGAACATATATATATATATAAACAATGTTCAAAAGCTTTTAAAATGATAAACACCTTGGCTGGGCGAAAGGTTCTGTTAGTTTGGTTGTTAAATCTCTTAAAGTGTAAAGCCAAAAATTATCAGTGTATTAAATGGATTAGTTCTAAATCAGTGTTTTATTTGCATTATATCTGCATCTTAAGAGCGATATGGTTTTTGAAAATACCCTCTGTTAAACGAATGACATGCCATTGTTTACTGTAAAAATAGCAAGCTACACAATCCCATCTATCCAGCTACACAGCCATATCTATCCAGCTACACAACCACATCTATCCAGCTACACAACCACATCTATCCAGCTACACAACCACATCTATCCAGCTACACAACAACATCTATCCAGCTGCACAACCACATCTATCCAGCTACACAACCACATCTATCCAGCTACACAAACAAATCTATCCAGCTGCACAGCCACATCTATCCAGCTGCACAACCACATCTATCCAGCTACACAACCACATCTATCCAGCTACACAACCCCATCTATCCAGCTACACAACCACATCTATCCAGCTACACAACCACATCTATCCAGCTACACAACCACATCTATCCAGCTACACAACCACATCTATCCAGCTACACAACCACATCTATCCAGCTACACAACCACATCTATCCAGCTACACAACCACATCTATCCAGCTACACAACCACATCTATCCAGCTACACAACCACATCTATCCAGCTACACAACCACATCTATCCAGCTACACAACCACATCTATCCAGCTACACAGCCAAATCTATCCAGCTGCACAGCCACATCTATCCAGCTACACAACCACATCTATCCAGCTACACAACCACATCTATCCAGCTACACAACCACATCTATCCAGCTACACAACAACATCTATCCAGCTACACAGCCAAATCTATCCAGCTGCACAGCCACATCTATCCAGCTGCACAACCACATATATCCAGCTACACAACCACATCTATCCAGCTACACAACCACATCTATCCAGCTGCACAACCACATCTATCCAGCTACACAACCACATCTATCCAGCTGCACAGCCACATCTATCCAGCTACTCAACCACATCTATCCAGCTACACAACCACATCTATCCAGCTACACAACCACATCTATCCAGCTGCACAACCACATCTATCCAGCTGCACAGCCACATCTATCCAGCTACACAACAACATCTATCCAGCTACACAACCACATCTATCCAGCTACACAACAACATCTATCCAGCTGCACAACAACATCTATCCAGCTGCACAGACACATCTATCCAGCTACACAGCCACATCTATCCAGCTGCACAGCCACATCTATCCAGCTACACAACAACATCTATCCAGCTGCACAACAACATCTATCCAGCTGCACAGCCACATCTATCCAGCTACACAGCCTTATCTATCCAGCTGCACAGCCACATCTATCCAGCTGCACAGCCACATCTATCCAGCTACACAACAACATCTATCCAGCTGCACAGCCACATCTATCCAGCTACACAGCCTTATCTATCCAGCTGCACAGCCACATCTATCCCGTTTCCCAATATCACCTATCCAGATACACAACCGCGTCTATCCAGGTACACCACCATACCTATCCAGGTACACCACCACACCTATCCAGCTACACAGCCACACCTATCCAAAATATTTGACATATTTATGAATGTCATAAACCTTGTAGAATCACCGTTATATTTACTTTTATTAGTTTCAGCATCAAGAGATAGGTGTGTCCCTCGTGTTCGTCAAGTGAGCCTGAGACTGTGATGACCCCATTTCTTGTTACCTGAAACATCGAAAGTTCCACGACCTTGGGTGAAAAGAAAAAAAAAATCATTGAGACCTTTATATGCAGGCCACTTATAAAATTGAATCGCTTACATGATCATTTTTACATTTTTTAAATGCATATGATTCACTCATAAAATGTGCACAAATACAACAAGAATCACCTCATCGGTAGGTATATATCAAAACAATAACCTGTATCAAAAACCATTGTATAGACACAGGGAAAGACAAAGTTTGATACCCTACTTGTCTAGGAATCTATAAAATTATCTATTTTTAATATAAGCCGATAGGCTTGACAAATTCACTCTAAGTTCAGTTCAATATAGGATATCATGGGAAATCACCACGCTACACAAAGCTTACATTAATTGTCCCTTCACGCATGACTTTAAAGACGAGCGCGGTATCTCCAACCATGAAGTCCTTGTGAAGCTCTCTTATAACAGAATTCTTCTTGGTGCACTGAAACACAAATCAAACATTATCTTTCTATAAGCCTTCTTGAAAAATACTTTTTTTTGCATTGCTCAATTTTGCAAACCATTGAACTATTATGGACGAACGAACTTGGAATGAAAAGTGTGTATCAGATTGACATGACGTAAGAGGGGACACCCTGTAGAAATCATGGCTGTCTTAGCGTCAGTTGTAGAGTTGTAGGGGATTTTCAATTTTTCTCAGACTGCTGCACATTTGATCTGCTCTAAACCGTTGATAAAAAAAGGGAAATATAATTTCAAATCAAATTCAACTATAATTTTACTTGAGCCATCTGTTCAAAATATGTGAATTAACAAGTTAAGAACATGTATTTGAATCTGACGACTCTCATTTTTAAAGCAGCACTACCTGCTTGATATTTTATTGTCTTTTAACGTAAAGAATGTAAATATCTTGAAGGTCCCTTTTCCTTGATTATGGTGGGGTTAAACTATCTAAAATAAGTAAGGTTAAGATTTAAGACAAAATATTTATATTTTTACAATAAATCTAATGAGATTGTCAAAATCATATTTCTGTGTAAATCTACAGTAATAAACAATGTTGGGCCTTTTTGCTTTAGTCATACATGCATATTGATAAAAGATAATCGTTCAATATGTAGGTTCATAAGCTATTTGGGGGAGGGGAGACAGGTGGGACACTGCACGTAGCCTACTATTTATCTTGGAAAACTTTTGTTCTGTATTTAAAAAAAACTTTGAAAACATCACATCAAGTATCGTTTTAGTTACCAGGTACTAAAAACAGTCAACAAACGTTCTTTAAAAAAAAAAAAAAAAACATTACCTTGGAAACGGAGAATTCCACCAACGAGTGAACATTTTGCAAAGCATCAGGTCTTTGAGCTCGCAGCATCGCCTTTCTATAAAAAGCCTGCATATATGATATATATATATAATCAATATGTAAACAAATATGTCCCCGGGTTTAGTGCCAATGCCTACATTTTAAATAAATACATTTGAAACGTAATTGCACTGAATTGGTTTTTTAGAGTGTTTCTTATGTAATGTGTTAGTCTCGGTCCAGTACTCGGATCACTTTAGGCTATTCAAGTTGGAAGGTATTGTGATGAATATTGCATGATAATTTTCGAGGAAAGTCATTGAAAAGTACAAGTCTCAGTTGGTGATGTGTTTACTTTTTCTTGTGGCCTTAGTGTGGAAAAATAATTGTTTTCATATTTTAATTGATCCCCAGGAGTGATACTTCATGTCGCTTTTAGACTGGGGGAATAACTCTGAAATTAAACCAGGAGCCAGAAGGATCAACAAATTTATCGTGGGCCCCTCAAATATAAGCAGAGCTCTTTATGCCGGACAACTCTTTAAGGTGTTAAATAAAGTGACCACTCACCTTGGATGCTCCATCGACTGTACAATGACACGTTATTTGAAGAATCCGGAACGAATGTCTGCCCTGAAAAACGGGAACAATTACTGTGTGGAATCAGTGTTCGTGTATGCATGCCGCATGACTGGGTGCTATATTATTTTTTTAAATGGTGTTTGAACAATCTTTAAAAACACTGATCCCATTTCAATGAAAGAAAAAAAAATGTTTTAGATATAGTGAAACAGTTAACTGAGGATTTTGTACACAAGATCAAAATATACAGATATACTATGTATTTTTGAACAATGCTAAAGATTACATATAGTATCTTGGTAGTCCAAGGGCTAAACAAATTGAACAAAGAAATTTAACAAACCAGAATTACTGACCGTTGATGGTAAGCTCTTGAACACGCGGATGACCCTGACCAGGGGTTGACTGTCGTTGAGCATGATGGTTTTGAAGTAGCCACTCATGTCAGCTCCAGAGGCTTCGTCCAGTACTGTACAGCTCCAGAAGCCGGCAGTCTCCAGGTAAAGATAAACTACATTTTCCCCTAAATCAGGAAGCGATATAACTCATAATAGTTTATTTAATTGTCCATCCATATATTTAAAAATGCATGAGTTATTTGGTTCTTAGGATACAAAAGATAAGGTCAACAAACGTTAAGAATAGATTCAGTTGCTACTCATAACTTACAATTTTTCTGTGGGATTTTAACACCGAATGAAATAGTAAATACAGCTAGTGCTCGACTTACGACCACGATCGGTTCCGACAGACCGGTCGTAACACGATTTGGTCGTAAGTTGAGTACGCTATGTGTACAGTAATGTGAAGTGATGTTATAAAAATATTTATGTTAAATTTTATCATAAATTTCTTTTAATATATTTTTATAAATCATAATTTTCGATGTTCACGATAGCCGATGATTGCAGACAGCGCTGCTCGCCTGATGATTGAGGCAGAAATAAATCTGAAACCTAATACAGTATGGCAAGTGATTGTGGTCGTAAAGTCGAATGGTCGTAAGTTGCATAGGGCGTAAGTCCAGCACTAGTTGTAACTCAATTAAAATTCGATGTCATTTTCTGCTGATGCTGTGGGCAGTTGTAAAATTCACGGTAATGTAATGGTAGTGTAAATTTAAGAAAGAATTATATCATCCTATAGACTTACCTTCAAAACCTTCAAAGGCGTGGACTTCTTCTGAAGGCGAGATGCATCCATTTACACCTAGGAAGTAATATACAGTTTTTTTTAAAAAAAGAAGGTGTTAGCGGCCAGTTTAGATTATTGACAGTCGTTCCCTTAAACTACATCATGTCAAACGATGCCCCCCCCCCACACAACATGTGAGCTTACCGCGCAACGTGAACGTAAGGTTCATGTAACAGAGGATTTATTTACATGGGCGTCGCAGGGGTTGAGTCAGTGAATGACATATCGACCAGTAGACTTACCTTCAAAACCTTCAAAGGCGTGGAATTCTTTTGAAGGCGAGATGCATCCATTTTCACCTAGGAATTAATATTCAGTTTTTTTTAAAAAAAGAAGGTGTTAGCGGCCAGTTTAGATTATTGACAGTCGTTCCCTTAAACTACATCATGTCAAACGATGCCCCCCCCCCCCACACAACATGTGAGCTTACCGCGCAACGTGAACGTAAGGTTCATGTACAAGAGGATTTATTTACATGGGCGTCGCAGGGGTTGAGTCAGTGAATGACATATCGACCAGGGATGGTTCTCATGGAGTTATCTTGCTTGACCTTTAGCAATGGTTTTGTAGCACAAGACAACGTGCAGTAGAAGTCAGAGTTGTCCCTCTCTTAGGTGAGCCGCCATCCGAAGGTTGATGAATGACGGGTCTCCGTTCTTATGATGTTTGTGATACTTGTGATATTTGACAAGTACGCTAACAATTCTAGAATACTTTCTGTACACACTTGTCATAATTGACACGTACACTCGTACGCTAATAATTATTTAATACTTACTGTGCACACTTGTGATATTTTGACAAAAGTACACTAACAATTGTATCGTACTTACTGTACACACGTGTGATAATTGGCACGCACACTAATAACTCTACAACAACGACGATCGGATATATACCTCCGGTGTTTAGCAAGGTGGCCGTAAGCAGATGACAAAATAAAGCTTTGGCTATTGAACGATTCCGCATCCTAAAGTGGACAAGACTCCTCGTCTCTAAATGTAACTCAATCGTTCCAAGACTTGGGAGCTACACGTTCACACGCGAATGGTCTGAGGTTTTACTGTAGATGATTTGACGGGATACCGCAAACTCAGGGATGTCACCGCTTGAAACTTTCGGAACTGCTAATGAAGACTTGGTTTTTTGTTTTGTTGTTGTTTATTTTTTATAAAAATAATGTATTACTGAGCAGATGTAACACTTACTGTACTGTTTACATCTATCGGATACTAAAATCGTTGTTTAAACATAATACACATTTTCTCCCCTCTTTAAGGCCTTAGAATCCTAGAATCCTAGAATCCTAGAATTAAGATGACACTACAGCCCACCCCCCATCTAGACGACTTAATCCAAAGTAAACTTTACTGTGATTCCATTGATTGCGTGATGCACGTTGGTGCAATGGGGAAATCGAGGCAACATTTTTGCACCAAAATACGCAATATCGTAATAAAGACAAATATAGGCGAGACACTATCGAGCTGTAACTGTGGAGTCTTATCTAACTGGCTAAAAATTTCCACCGTTTTTTTTTTTGAGCTGTTATTTTTGTCATTTTTCAAAAATAGGTTTGCTAGATGAAAAAATCCTTCTGCCAACACTTTTTGTGTGTTTTGTTTTGATGTTTTATTTTAAGTTACCCACCCCACTTTGTCTCAACATTTTTTAATCTCACCAACAGGCTGATTGCCAGCAAAACGTAAGATTTTCAATCTGCTGTTACATAATTTAAACGACTGCTGCGATGATTTGGACTTTCATATTGATCATGAAATCAAAGCTGAAGAGTGAAAAAATGGTATGCCTCTATGCCTTTCTGTGTCACTATTTTCTGGTCAAAGCAAAAATCCCTCGAAATGAATGAAAACGTTAAATTTATTGTTTGCAGCCATTTCCTATTACAATAGCTGACATTGCTCACGGCCATCTTTTGAAATGGGAATAGGCGTACTAACATACAGAAAGAAGAAGCAGGCGTACGAAAATACAGAGAGAAGCAGGCGTACGACACACAGAGAGAAGCAGGCGTACGAACATACAGAGAGAAGCGGATGTAGCGAAATCTGAAACTAAGCATTTGGACATATCGACCTAGAGACATGTAGAGATTTATACAACGTAGACATGTAGACATAATGACTTAAACGCAGAGACGCAATGACATATAAGAAAGTGTTCGTCTTGAATAGATGTGTTTGTTTATTATGATATTGGTACAAATACAATGCAAATGGCTACATAATAAACATTATATTCTAAACAGTTATAGATGGAAAGAGCATTTGGTAATTAATTATATAAAATGTAAATAAATATAAATCAAAATAATGATTTCATAAGGGAATACTTACGAGTCTTTCTTTCTTTCTTTCTTTCTTTCTTTCTTTCTTTCTTTCTTTCTTTCTTTCTTTCTTTCTTTCTTTCTTTCTTTCTTTCTTTCTTTCTTTCTTTCTTTCTTCTTTCTTTCTTTCTTTCTTTCTTTCTTTCTTTCTTTCTTTCTTTTGTTCTTTCTTTCTTTCTTTCTTTAAGCTCATCATTTCCTTCTTCCTGTCTTTCTTGCTTTTATTTCTTTCTTTCTTATTTATTTATCGTCTTTCTTTGTAATTTACCATCTTTTCACCTTTTCTCTTTCGACTCACCACTACAAATATTTATTTCAAAACAACATGTCCTCCATGAGCACTCATCAATTGTGATAACTGAAGCAAAGTAAATAATATATATTTATACCTTTTGTTAGCCACCTCCACTTTTTTTTTTAGCTACCAACACTTTTATTTAGTCACTATCACTTTTGTTTAATCACCAACACATTTCCTTAGCCACCAACACTCCTCATTAGCCACCAACACTTTTTTTAGCCACCAACACATTTCCTTAGCCACCAACACTCCTCATTAGCCACCAACACTCCTCATTAGCCACCAACACTTTTTTTAGCCACCAACACATTTTTTTAGGCACCAAAACTTTTGTTTAGTCACCAACACTTTTGTATAGCCACCAACACATTTCTTTAGCCACTAACACATTTCTTTAGCCACCAACACATTTCTTTAGCCACCAACATTCTTCTTTAGCCACCAACACTCTTCTTTAGCCACCAACAATTTTGTTTAGTCACCAACACTCATTTTTAGCCAACAACACTTTTATTTAGCTGACCATCGGCATGAAATCATCCAAGAGCAGCTGCTCTACCAAACTGGGCCCTGCAATATAGTGAATCTTTAATGATACAAGCTCACACTGTGGTAAGAACGGTGAGGTTGTTGTGGTGAGGCTTCTGTGGTGAATCTGTTGTATTGAAGCTGTTGGGGTGATTCTGTGGTCCCGCTGTTCTGGTAAGGCTACGGTAGGGCTTTACATGGACAGTTTACACGGGAACCATGAAATATATTAGTAACATCGTCTATTATATTTACTTTAGTTTTTATTTTGTATTCAGCCCTATATTATTGGGCGCTATATCAATTGCCGATACATTAATTCGATAAAATATAGTTATTCAAAGATTTAAAAAATGTTGTTGTCAACACCACATCTGTACAGGATATATGTACACAATGTATTATCAGTAAATGATGTCATCATATCTTACGTACCGTAGAATGACTTTTTTTTTTTTTACCAATCATTAATTCTCAAAACAATGCCAGTGGTTGTATGCCATCGGTGGGTTTAACGCCGAAGTTAAACTGGATTCAAGTTGCTCGTGTCGAATCTAACCCTGGGGTTCCCGGCTTTGAATATTTCAGGCATCATGCTGTTGAACCTCAATTTAAATCTGTTGTTGTCGTTGATGGGGCTCACCTCCCCTCGCCTGGGCTTATCCTCCGCCTCATTTTTAACACCACCACCTCCGCCTCTTTCGTGTTTCATAGATCCCAGCGTCGCGTTGGGGTCGTTCATGAACCCAGTTGTGTTGGCGCTACCGGGGATCGTAGGGCTCGGCCGAAACTGGATGTTCTCGTCGAAATGAAACGGGTTCGCCGTCGTTTTGTTGAGCATGGTCGATCGGATGTCAAGCGGCTTCGGACCGACCTTCGGTTTCTGGACGGCTTCGTTCGAGCACTGAATAAACGTCCGGAACTTGTTTCTGAGGCTTCCGGTGCTCGGGCTCGGCTGCGTGGCCTGGTCGACGGACTTCACGGGTTTCGTGGAGCATGACCGGAAGCAGGTGGCCGCGGTGGGGAATTCCTGCTTGCACATGTGGCAGTCGCCTCCGACCTCTTCCATCGACGAGTTGACCGTGTTGATCGCGGAGGACGCGGAGCTGTCTTTCTTCTTTGATTTGACGGATTTGACGGCCATGAAGACGACCAGAGATCCGATGGTAACGAAGCCGAAGAAGGAGAGCAGGAAGAGCGTGAGGGGGATGGTCGTTGAGGTGGTGCCCTCGAGGGACTCCTCCTTGGCGGTGCCCACCAGGCGAACGTCGCGGTCAGCCGGCGAGTCCACGCTCCACGCCACGTTGGGGATGACCAGATTGTCTAAAAGATCGACCTGGAGTGTTGTGGACGTGCTGTGTAGGAGTGCTGTCCCCTCTGTGGCCTGTAGAGTAAAAATGGAAATGTTAACTCAACGATGGCGACCTGGTGATGTAATTGTTAAGAAAACTAGATGTGGCAACGGAACCCCTTGGCGCATGTTAAAGACGGGAAGAGGTAATCTAATAATCTCATGAACGCTGTGCTGAATATATCGCATGATACAAGCACTTACTGTAATGGTTAGCAGTATTTCGTTGACGCTAGACGTGCAGGACGGTTTGACTACCTTCATCACCCCTGTCGACGGGTTGATCTCAAATTTGTCGCCGTACTGGCTCGGCTCGACTGAAATGTGGAAAATACAAAGGTTAAAATAGATACATTGATGACGTGTGGTCTTATTGGGGGCTTGAGATCAAATTAACATTGTACAGAATCGGAGAAGGCTACTAAACAGACCATGTGTATCCTCATTGGTTATTCTAGATGGGTAATGTCTTCATCTAGACACGAAGCTTACCTCTTGAGATGCTGTATGTTATTGAGCTGTTCAGTGTGTCCTTATCCTCAGCAAGTATTGGTGCGGGGTACAGCCTCAGAAAACCCTTCACATGGAAAAAGTTAATGGAATGAAAAGACGTGTGAAAACTTCAGCTATTTTTTTTTAAAAATCTTACCAATTTAATAAACCATTAATTTGATGAGATGAAAACCAAGATCATTTTTAAAAAAAAAACTAGAGAGATAAGTAAAACTTCTGTGACATTTCAACACAGTTCCAAAATACAGTTTATATTTTTGTTGTAAAACCTGAATGCTAACAAAATGATTTGATCAACAATTAAAGATTATTTTAAAACCCTATTCTACAGACGTGGTTTCATAAACAAAAAAGTCTCTGGACAAAAATGATTCTCCCAGCAACACAGTTAAAAGTCCCCTAACATCAAAGCGATTTTTTGCTCTTTGTAACAAAATGTATCCGTAACTATACGTTGTGTAATTCCTACCGTGTAACCGCATTTGATGACCGTCTGAAAGTAGGGGGTCGTGCAGTAGTGGTCAAGTTTCTGGCAGTCAGGATACACAAAGTACGGGCCTTGGTCATCCGCATCGGTCACCTGTATGGTCAGCGTGGCGTAGGAGGACAGTGGCTTGGGGGTTCCATTATCCTGTTAATGTTGATTCGGTGTTGATAAAATAATGGTAAAGGCAACAACCTTACTAGCTCAAACCCCTGATGAAACGTATGATCCCCGACTTTAATAGGGGGACACGCCCGTGGTTTAAAAGTGAACAGAATAAGATATAGAATGAACTAATGATATAAGCTATATCAGAAAGACATGGAAAGTACTAATGATTTGAGTTATTGCAGAAAGACATGAAATGTACAAATGATATTAGCTGTGGCAGAAAGACAGGGAATGTACTAATGATTGGAGTTATGGCAGAAACACACGGAATGTACAAATGATATTAGCTGGGGTAGGAAGACATGGAATGTACTAATGATTCGAGTTATTGCAGAAAGACATGAGATGTACAAATGATATTAGCTGTGGCAGGAAGACATGGAATGTACTAATGATTTGAATTATGGCAGAAAGACATGGAATGTACAAATGATATTAGCTGTGGCAGAAAGACAGGGAATGTACTAATGATTGGAGTTATGGCAGAAACACACGGAATGTACAAATGATATTAACTGGGGTAGGAAGACATGGAATGTACTAATGATTCGAGTTATTGCAGAAAGACATGAGATGTACAAATGATATTAGCTGTGGCAGGAAGACATGGAATGTACTAATGATTTGAATTATGGCAGAAAGACATGGAATGTAC